AATAATTATGATAAATAAAAATTAAATTAAATAAAAAAAATTTAAAAAAATTTAAAAATATATGCTTAATATATAAAAGTTGATTTTATAAGTTATATTTGGATTTTAAAATTGAAACACGTTATCTTATTATACAGTCTTAATGCCCAATCTTAGATTATACTATTTTTATTTAAAATAAAGGAGTAAATCAAAGGGAATAATTCTACCAAGTTTAATTACTTTCGAGAAAAATCAAAATTGTGTCTAAGAAATAGAGTTATTACTAGTTTACCTATAAAATTGAATAAACTGTATACTATTAAGTCTAATTATTGATATATATATATATATATATATATATTATTTATTTATTTAAAATTATAAGAAAATAAAAATAATTTTAGAGATTTCAATATTGATTAATATTTTAAATTTTAAAACTATTTATTTAAAGAAATTAAGTTGTGACTATATAAATAATTGAAATAAAAAACTCATAGTAGACTAATATTATAAGTTAAATTTTTTTTTTTTAAAAGTTACTAGAATGATAATATATTAATATTTTAAAATACTATAGAAAATAATATTATAAAAAATAACATAATATAAAATTTACAAAAAAGAACTAAAAAAAATTATATACATTCATATACAAGATACAATATGTACTGGGAGATACACCTTTCGGCCTAGGAAGAGACCGAGACAAACCCCCTTTCGGCCTAGGAAAAGGCCGAGACAAATCCTAGGCCGACTACATCGTTCGGCCTAGGAAGGGGCCGAGACAAGTATCTAAACCGATGAAGTCTTCATCCAAGTCACCCCTTCGGCTAGGTCAACAGTCGAAGGGTAGCTACCCCCTTTTTCGGCATCATGGTTAGCCGAACACCCCTCCCGCAACGAAAAGTGAGGAAAGTATTCCAAAATCGGGCAAAAGAGCATCAAAGGGAAACACTCAAATCACCCCCTTGGCTTGGAGTATGACCGAACACCCCCTCGGCTTAGAGCATGACCGAATATCCCTTCGGGTTTGAATATGGTCGAATACCCCTTCGGCCTTAAGCTTGGCCGAACCCCCCTTCAGCTATGAAAACGACCGAGCACCTCTTCGACTAAAAGCTTGGCCGAAGATCCAAAGAATGTCAACTCACGTGGAACATATGGCAGGTTAGGATATCCATTACACAACGATTATCACGTCTAATTAAGAAAGATCACGATTAACCAAGGTATTACCCATCTCCCAAGACAGAAGGCCCACCAGGCCCAAATACGTCACTATAAATATGCAGGTGATGGGACATAAATGAGGTATGATTTATCTAGTATAAAAGCCTTTATTGCTCTATACCGAACACTTACTTGAGCGTTGGAGTGCCTTTGCAGGTACCTTCCCCGCCCTTTGAAGATAGTATTCGATCGGCGGCGAAGACTTAGAAGATCATAAGGAAGGAGCAACAAGAGGAGTGTTTCTAAGAAGGAACATTTTGGCGCCCACCGTGGGGCCGAAACCAAACGGTTCTCGACCCTGAATTAAGATGGTAACCACTAGAAGTCAGTAGGATAAAGCAGCAGTTCACAATCTCGGGATGCCCCGAGAACCAAGACAACAGACGAATCAGAATGAGGAAGGAATGGAGGAGTCCTACGTGGATCGGTCCCAACCTCCCAACCTGTCATTGGTTATAGAACAGCTGAAAGCCGAAATGATGGAGTTAAAGAGACTCCGGGAGAAAGACCATGAACTTAAAAGCACATATAGTAAGGTACAGATTTAATAAGCAAAGACACAAAGAATTTTGGACACAAACAACACAAAACAAAAATTAGATCAAACAAGCTAGTCTAGGAATTTTCAACATGTAAAAAGGACTACACATGACATTCTAAGACAAAACAAGTGATTCAAAAACAAAATCTATGCAATATGAATGTTGTCCAATCATGGACACATGTTATAGAATGGAGAGACTCAATCAAAAATTAAAATGCACAAGCACAAGAACACCTAGGCGCACCACACAAATTGATTCAAGAATAAGGGACAAACAACAATATGAATCAATTATTTCTCATGTGACAATTAGGATCCATCAATATATGAACAAAATTAGATCCATACAGCAAACATAAGAAGACATGTAATAGGAGGAAGATACAACACGGGTTCTATTAGAAAAAGTTAGAACAAAAAACCTCAAGAGCACTAGGCTCTAGATACCAAAAATGATGGAGTTGTGTTGAAGAGATTGATGTTCCTCCACTTTGCTCCATGCTTAGGACCGTAACTCTTGAGGTAGACCTTTGGTTGAAACTTGAAATCTCCTTGAAGAAGCCTTCAATGGAGGTGAAGCCTTAGAAGGAGGTTCGGTTACTTCTCATTGGATGTAGAAGCTTGATGAACCTAGGTTAAGGTTTGAAGAACCTTGGAGAATCCTTAGAGTAGAAATTCTCTACGGTTTCTATGAGTGACTCTTGAGAGAGAAATCAGAATTTTATTTCTCCAAATGTTCAAAAGTAAGTACAAGTGTAGGAAAATCAAATATATAGGGGAGGGTAGCTTGTAGGAGAAGTTATCCTTAACCATGGTTCACTAAGAACCATGGTAGGTTAACTTAAACTCCCACGGTTTAGCTAGCTTGTAGGAGAAGCTAATCCTTGACCATGGTTCACTTAAGAACCATGGTAAGGTAAGCTAACCTTGCTTGAGTTTAGAAGCTTGTAAGACAAACTTCAAACTCAAGAAGGAATGCTTGAGAAATTCGGCCAAAGGAGAAGGAATAAGCTAGGCGGCCCTTGGTTCAAATGCTCCGTGAATTAATTTTGAAAATCTTTGATTTGGTTTAGTTAGGTTCATCATTTGATGATGAAACCTAGCTAAATCAAATCTATGAAAAATTAGGAGCAAAATGAGTCAATTGGAGGATCATTGTGGAGGCGTCTCTCTCTCTCTAGGGCTGTCCACCAATACATGGCATGCCCTTGGAAGCTAAGGGCAGCCAAAGGTACTTTCCTCTCTTCACTTACCCTATGGCAAGCAAAGAGTTGCTCAACCTTCATTTCCCAATCTAAATAAGACTCCACATCATCTTTGCCAAAGAATTGTGGGAGGTCAACCTTGACTTCCCTTGGCCTAGTAGTTCTCCTAGGAGTATGTTGGTAGTGATCCCCTTGATTCATGCTTTCATTAGGGGATGTGTATTGGGAATGTGAGCTCCTACTCTTTTTCTTATGTTTCTTCATATCTTCTTTCAATTTTTCCTCCTCTTGCCTTAAAATTCTCAACTCTTCCTCAAGATAAGCAAGTTGTCCTTCTCTTTCAATTCTTTCCTTCTCTCTTTGAATGGACTCTTGCTTTTTCCATAGTTTAAGTGATTTGAGCTCTTTAGTAATGTAAGAAAGACTTTTTGGAGAGCCATCACTTTCACTATGGGAGGAATCTTGAGACATTTTAATTCAAGAGATATTTTTCACACAAAAATAGTTTTTATGAAAATAAGGTTTTGGAGTGCTTTAGACTTGGCACTTAGAGGTCTAAGAGTACAAATTGAACTTTGGAGGGAGGTGAGCTACTAAAGAGCCACTTAATAACCAAGCCTCTTCAAGTAAAAATCTCTAAACCCCCTTGTACTTTTGTCTTGCACAAAACAATTTTCACAAGACTTTTCTAAAGAAAAATAACAAACAAGTGCCTATGTGTACAATTTATAAGTTGCTTGAAAACTTAAATGACTGAAAACATAAATTGCTTAAAACATAAATTGCTTGAAAACTTAAAGACAAGAAAACATAAACTAGACGTTGAAAGCAATTAAACCTAAGTGAGAGCTTGAAAGGCACCAAAGACCTTCAAGGACCACTCTCACAAGTACTACACGTGATTAGCTATAAGAGTTCTTAAGGAGAGATGGAGATACACCAAAGGCACTCCAAGACACTCCTTAATAAAGGCCTTGTACAAAAATTTAGAAAGTAAAATTACAAGTCAAATGAAATTCAAATTTGTTTCAAATGAAATGTAAATTCACACTCCAAATGAAATGTAAATTTACTTTC